TCGCGTCAATTAATCTCTTTTATTTTTAGAATTGATGTTAGCAGCGCCATCTCTCTTTAAATATATACATATAATAAAAATGATGATAACATATTGTGTCTCTTTCTGTACATTGTATAGGTATATATTTTGGTGGCTAAAATCATTATGGGGAACTGAAAATAATTAAATAAGAACATTTTATAATTTTTAGAATTGTCTGTATGTCTATTTGTCTGTTATTATATGAACGCATCACGTCTAAAGTAAACATCTTTTATTTTCAAAGAAATCGTTAAGAAAATCATAAAGCGTATCTTCGAGTTACATTTAATCTTTGTTTTATTAAAATTGGTTAATTCTATCGAAAGTAATGATTATTATTTTGAAATGTAGGTTCGAATTTGTTCAATGGCGCCATAAAATCTCAGAAATAGTAATAAAAAGATTTGTGTGTAAAAAAAACGTTCCATAATAATTAATATATTTATACTTAAAACACAAAAAGAGATTTAAAAAGGATGTTTTCTCACACAAAGGACGTAATAGATGAAGTTGTACAAATTACAAACTTTTCTGAATTGCTGTGTTGAGATTTTTCGCCGATGAATCGTATTGAGACTTACTGAAGAAATTTGTATCCATCGAAGCCATACAACGGAATCCGAATCAAAAATAAAAATTTTGCAACGAAATGTCGTGATATTGTATTTATAATATACGCAAAATCAGTACTGCCACTTTAGCGCTTTGGGAACTAGATTTAGCGCTTTTTTGGAATGTATAGCGCGCATTTCGAAATTTTAGCCCTAGCTTAATCCAGCGCTTTTTGGTGTATTTAGCACACATTTCAATATTTTAGCGACTAGCGGGTTATTAACTCTTAAGCAGCACTGTTAGTCCACATTACCGATAATAATAATAATGACCTTTATTATTTTTTCCCACAAATAGTACATTGCAGTTTATCTTTTTCAAACATATTTTTTCCACAAAACAAAGAGCATGGGAGACGAGTCCAAACTAGGATACCCTGTGCTATGGATCTCCTGGCTTCCCCTTTAGGATGATCAACTTGATTTTTTTACCGACGACTATAAGCGGGGAAACCCCTTTATTAAAGTTTTTGTTCATGGTTTTGGCAACGCATTTATTTTGCTTTATTCAGTTTCAGTCAGTTGCTTAGAGCACAGCTAAGTTAAAAGTTACTTAGAAGTTATAACACAAAGAAACTGTGTAGCAACCGCAATCAGATGCTGACATCTGAAACTAAGTTGCGAAATACATTGCACTTTAAAACAATTAATGACATTTTTATTGTTCGTACAGTACTAACTACTGTTGACAGCAATTGCCATAATTATAAGTCGATGTCCTGCGAATTATTGATACATCAAAAAAATATTGCCAGAAAAAAAACTTAATGTTGTTTTCTTTATTATGATTATATAAAAAAACACAAACTTTGTTTGTAGTTAATTTAGCGCGAAATCTAGGGCTTTTTTAAAGCGCTGTTTTCATGAAATCTAGCGCTTTTTGTGTTGTCCTAGAGCTGAATTAGTTTTTTTTTATCTGGCAGCACTGCCCAAAAACCCTCTATTAAGAAGTAACTTTCCTTTCAGTTTTAAGCGCGTTCAGTTCCCAGTTACAGTGAGCGTGTGTTATGCGATGACCGTAAATAAAGCGCAAGGTCAAACTTTACGCGTTGTAGGAGTGTACCTCAGTACTGACTGTTTTGCACATGGCCAACTCTATGTTGCTTTTTCCCGCGTTAGTAGCCCCCGTAACCTTTTAGTGTACACCCCGGCTAAGCCTACTTCTCACGTCGTTTACACAGAAGCTCTATCATAAACGACTTAGAACTTTGATGATAATGATTTATTTAGTTACCACTTATTGATACAGTAATGAAATAAATCGTTTAATATTCTCTTACCTAAACGACAAATTGTTTATGTAAAACCTGTATACGCGAGCTACGCCGCGGGCACAGCTAGTACATAATAAACACGCTGTAAAAATGGCAGACTGAATCAAACACTTTTTTTGGAATTTTTGAAAATACAACTTTGTGGTCGTCTGCCCCTATGTAAACCCCTTCAGAAGTGTCTGCCATTTTTTTTCTTAATTGTTTATAAACTTAGCTAACGGATAGTCATTATTATTATTTGAATCAAACACTTTTTTTTGGGCAAATTTTTTTTCGACTTAACTGTATGCGCAGTACCAGGTGTACCCAGGTAGGCCAGGCAGACAGTCATATACCTGCTTATTGAGTCGACTGATACCTTTAAACAAAGTTTCATGATGCATCAAACACTTCATGAAAAATGCGTCATGAGCTCTCGGACCATGAGATAGATTGCCTCTTTTCCAGTAAATAGGGTCTCCGGTTCTCTACACTCACCATACGAAACACAGAATACAACTATACTATTAATATAGCTGCAGCATGGCTCTACCACGTATAGCATGGCTCTACCACGTATTTATATTTATATTTTGTTTAACATAAAGAAATCCTGCCTGATTTTACAAGTACGTTCTCTTAAGCGCAGTGCCGCACTGTAGTTTTTTATTAAGGCTAAAATAATTAAATCTTTTAGTTTACAGTAGTTCTTTACAGTAGTTTACGATAGTAGTGTGTAGACTTAATGGTTGCATCATGTATGGGTCGGTCCGACCGCGAAGGACTGTGACCAGTATAAAATGCAGCAAAAGATAATGTGTTTTACAGGGTGAGTGACGGGAACTGGAAATAACGAACACGTCTATACAAATAAATAAAATTGAAGTGTCTGTTTGTAATGCTAAAATAACTGCATTTTACTAAATGCATATGAAAGTATATACGGTACCAATAACAAAAAACAATTTTTAAAATTTTGGTCTTACTGTTTGTTCCGGCTAATCTCAGAAACGGCTGGAGCGATTTTGACGGGATTTTTACTGGCAGATAGCTGATGTTATAAGGAGTAACTAAGGATACTTTTGTTATTAGAAAACGAATTAGACTTCCGCAAAAAAAAAAATTAAAACCCATAAAATCGTAGTAAATTCCACGCGGGCGATGTCGCGGGTAACAGCCAGTTTGAGGATGAATGTAAGTGTCTATGGCCCAAATACTCGAACGCTGCTCAATTTTAAGATGCCTTTAAGTCTCGTGTTGTCTCTATCACTTTAAGTCAATTTGACTGTGACACCACGAGACAGCACCAAGTGCTCATTAGTAATCCTTACTTGTACTATAAAAATATATATTTTTTAAAAACGTTACCTCCACACTAGGATTGTCTCCTGTATCGTGGGGGCAGTTTACATACATAAATTTCACAAGGACAAACATCCAGACACGAATAATTGATTTGTAGGCCATACAAATACTTGTTCCGTGCGCGATTGAAACCCGCGGCCCTTAGCGTGGCAAACATTGCTAAGCCACTGCGCCACGGAGCCGTCAGTATACTATGAATATCTTCATCTTCCCTTATTTTTTATAATTTAGTCTACAACTGGATATGGTCCTTTTCAAGAAATACACAACTTCCATATTGCCAATATTTTGCGAGCGCAAGGCCTATATCGTAGGTAATAAATCGGTAACCCATCGCTTGTCTGTGATACTTTGTTTGGGCAGCATCATCGAGTCGAGCTTCGAACGTCTGTCAGTATGTTACACCATGGTTATTGAATAAGGGTAACAAACAAGCACACATCCCACTGTCGGTAAGTGGATGTTGTGGCTTATAAGCACAGTAAGCGACACGCGCGTTCTGTATATGGTTATCTCTACTTATGTTAAATTTATTTAATTTAAGGTTTATTACGATACCGATATTATATCAGAAATATTTTAAGCCGTACAATTGTAATTATCTAATTATCTATGCAAAAAACCGTTTACAAGTGGATATTGTTAAAATTTGTATTTTAAAAATTATTAATATACTTTCTGTTCGGCTGGCGGCTTATTCGGTCAATCATTTAGATTGTTCGCTACGACGACGCACTTCGACACTACGACACGCAGGGGTTCCCTATAAATTCCTACGTCTATAATACATAGATTAAGTACCAAAAATACTCCTACGTTATGTCACCTTAGGAAGGTACCGAAGCATTCTTATGCCTCGTTACCAGTAAAAAGGTTCTTCAGTTCTCTATACTAACCATACGAAACACAGGACAATCATGCTGCTGTTCCATGCTGGTATTCTGTGGGAGCATGGTCCTTCCCCGGTCAAGCCGACATATTCACGCTGCACCTTTTTATAGGATAGGGTGACAACCGAGCACACAGTCCACCTGATGATAAGTGGTTGATGTGACCCATAGACATCTACATCTATCCTCAATAAAAAATCAAAATGCAGATGCGTTGTCACCCGTGAGGACTAAGATGGAATGCCTCTTTTCCAGTAAAATGGGTCTCCGGTTCTCTACACTCACCATACGAAACACAGCAGTGTCAAGCTGCCATTTTACGCTGGTATTCTGTGGGAGCATGATCCTTCCCTGGTCGAATATAGCTGCAGCATGGCTCTACTCTAAAAACTACTCTAAAAACCTGTAATACAACTGCGGCTTGGCTCTACCACGTGTTAAGGTGAGGTTGAAGTTTAGAGTAAGTTTCTTCTTGCACCTCCTTTACTCGTAACACCTCACCCATACAACCGGTAAAGTTATATGCTACAGCCTACATACGTCCTACACATAAATAGGGCACAGCTCTCCACTAATTATTAAGATGTTAATGAAGAAATGAATCCTTTGAAATATTTTTATTTCTCATACATGCAGGTTTCCTAACGATGTTTTCCTTCACCACCGAGTACGTAGTAAATCAGCATTTAAAATCTTAATTAATTATTTCATTGGAGCCGGCGGGGATCGATCGAACTTGCGTAGCTTGCGTACTGTGAAATTTACTGCGAGTGCTTACGCTCGTCTCTTCATACAGCCTATATTACTGTTTATATAATTCAATTATCAATCTAACACTTTTAAATTATTTTGTTTAGCCTACAGCGTCCAGCCATTAGAAGAGTATGACACCCCAAGGGCTCCACTACTCCGGCAAGTTTCGCTGGACGAAGAACGCCCAGACGACTGTCAGGGTCACTGGCGGGGAAGCTACATTCAAGGAGATGAAGAGGAACGGGGAGTACGTCTATTCCGAGCTCTACTATTGCAGCATTTAAGGCTTGAGGAGCTGAGGCCTCCGCCGTGCATGATCGTACCGGCTAAGCCTGATCAGAGGTAGGTATAATTAATTCACACACTTACTATAATACGCAACCTTTGCCAATTTCTTTTTTCCCAGCTCGTAAGTGGTACTGGACACTAGCCTCTCTGATTGTAGGTAGGTCTTTTATTTACAAATAAGAGAAGACTACGGATGCGTTGCCACCATGTGAGTGCTAAGATAAATTACTTCACAATATATCAAATCGGAATACGGTAATGATGAGGTACTGCTTCACAACAGATTAACATAATTGGTACCAAGCTAGACGACTTTGAAGCGGACGAAAATACCATTTAGTGCCGATTTACCACGTGTTTAGCGATGTAGGAAAGTATCATCACGAGGAATGTTTTCTATTCATATTATATGCCTGTGCTTGCCTACAATACCACTTATTGTAGGTTATGGTGAAGCCCTAGATGGTTAATCCCACAGGCCATGTCTAGTGCCTTGAAAACACCTAGATCAATACGGAACGTAAAGATAGACGCGGTCAAACTATCCTTTGCTCTATGCATTACCAAAGACGAAAAAAATAAACGTTTGGCTTCTAATACGTAGAATATTGACAACAAAGTGTTATGGCCTGTTTGTCCAATGGTGGAAAAGGAAAGAAGTAGTGTTTTAGTGCATGTAATTCATGCGCACACTCTCCGAAATGCATCAAAAACAATACTGAGAAGCAGGCTACTCTTCGCCTGTGCTTAAGGCTGACAAGATTGAGTTCACCAAAGATATACATATTTGCATACATATTCCTTATGTATGCAAGTAACCTTCCTATTCACACTGTATTAGGGCTGTAGATACTCTTACTTAATTACCGAGGTTTATGTCGAACTAGGACGTATGTAATATATTTTAACGCCATAAAACGTGTCATTGGATATTATATTAAAAAACTGGCAAAGTGCGTGTCGGGCCACGCACAATGTAGAGATAGGGTTTCGTAGTTGCCCGTCACAATACTTGGGCTTTTTTTATAATGAGCATTATAAGTGATTCTGCGGTTTGACCGCTATAACGATCAAAAATGGGCCCATGTAGGAAGATCGTAACTGAAGGACTTATTTCATTTAAATCTTACAGGAAGTGGTATTCAATAAATATTAAAAAATCCTTTAGATTTTTAAATAATACCCTATCTATCCCGCAAATGAAAAAGTAAAGCTAATAATAGTAATGCATATAAGTCGTTTTCTTCATAAAATGTTTATTTTTAACAGTTCACAATAAGTTTTAAGTCATCTTCTATGGAGTTGTAACGACATTTTTACCAATCCAAGTGCATTTTATAAGTTGGTCGACTATTATTCGTTAACTTCTTAATTCTACTTAGCTGTGATAGTTTTCACATTTCCAAAAACAGCGGTTTAGTTTGTATAGGGGGGGAAAAATACCACTTTAAAACTAAATATTTCGCAAACGGACCCCTGGATCGAAAATATGTTGTTTCACACCCCCAATATTTTTGAAAGACCTATCCAACGATACCCCACATGATGGAATCGACGGATAAAAAAAAATCATTCTCCATTTACTTTTATGGGAAGTGTCTAAAACGAAAATATTTTTTCAGATTTTATTTCACAGTTTTCTAGGCGTGATTAATATCAATAACTATGCCACATTACAGGTTTGTAGTACCTAGGGTCTCTGAGCAAAACCGCGGACGGACGGACGGACGGACATGGTGAAACTATAAGGCTGATTTCACAGCTGTACGGGAGTCCCGTACGGGTAGCCCGTAATGCGGGAGACCCTAATATATATAGGCCTGCCACATACATACGGAATTCCGTTTCGAGATTCCGTTTCGGAATTCCGAACGGATCGGCCACACACAAACGGAATCCCGTTTTGGCCGCAAAATTTCGAACGGAAAACTACCGTACGTGTGTGACGGGTCATAGATTTTATATGGACTTGCTGCGTTCGGGATTCCGAATCGGAATATCGAAACGGAATCCCGAAACGGAATTCCGTATGTATGTGGCCGGCCTTAAGGAATGTGCTCTGTTCAGAAATCTACAATGTAAAAATGAAATCATGCATATTCCGGCAGCTAGAGCATTGCCTGGGACTGACTGCTGTTCAACATGTGATCATTGGCGATGGTGCGTCTTTGTTCTTATAATTTATATTTGAAGCATTCCATAAACAGGGTTTATTTTGTACTCCGTCTATGACAAATCACGTGTCAATTAATCGACTAATCTCGATTGTACTCACGGAGCACGGGCGCTCCGCATCGCTTTGAATCGATAAATGAGCAGCGATGCGCTCGCGTCTGCATGTACGGGGGTCCGGGTGCGGGACACGGGTGCTTTTGTACGGGCTCTACACGGAGCGAGTCCTGTACGGAACAATCCGCGTAGCTGTGAAACGATGTTATAGCGCCTCATGTCTGTCTCCGCTCCGGGAGCCCGTACGGGTCTCCCGTACAGCTGTGAAACCAGCCTAAGGGTTCCTTGTTGTGTAACTACGGAGCCCTAAAAAGGTTGTAATTAAAATAGTCCTTAATCAATTACTTGGCATTTTACAGAGGTTGGTGGATGTACTGGCGCGATTGGAGGGCACTGGAACGAGCCGCAAGGAAGTTCAGGGAAACCAAAGCGCGTGCCATATTGGCATCACGGGCAGAACACATACCATTATTGAGTCTCGACGAAGTGGCCTTTGAAGACATTATGCAAGAGCTTTGTCAGGTACAGTCATTATGTTATAATATATAATAATTAATAATCTCTTTTAATATATGTAATTTGAAAAAAGTTGCTTCCCCAACACATATTTTGAGTTTGTTGTTCTCTAAAATTACATCTTATAATTTTTAGTACACTACGTAGTGATCACGTGAAAGTCATGGTGGCTCAGGGGTTCCACCGGCACCAATGAAATTGTTAATTGCAATGTTAAGTCCTGATTTACCACGTACTTGACAGTGAAGGGAATCATCGTGAGGTCTGTCTGAGAAATTAAAAAAAAAACGTTTCGAAGACATGTGAAAAATCTTCTTTGCTTTAAAAATGAGAGGAGACCTGTGCCCAGAAATGCTGTAACTAGCTATCGCAGTGTTTTTCTTCCGATGATGAGGAGAGACCTTCGTTTAGAAGCGACACACGCGACAAAATTTCGACGTTGATAGATATTTCTTAACGTAGAGGCTAAATTGGTAGTATTGATAGTTTTCGGTATAGCGGTGTTGAGTGTAGATGTGTTAAGTGTTCTTCGAACTACATAATACACATTATATTATTTTTGGGCATGGAACTTAGCTCATTATTGTTATCCTCTTTAATAAAATGAATTTCCTCAAAACAATCCCCGATTTTGTTAATTGAAAACCCATGTTAATTGAAGCAGTATCACTAGCAGTGTAGTGGTTATCGACTTTGCTCTTATTTTTATAAAAAAAAAATATATATATTTTGAGCCATTATTATGAAGTGACTGCTGTAGTAGATATTTTCACACCGCCACTACACGGTTTCAAGTTTCAAGGATAGTTAGGATTGTTTACCGTGTATTGGCGGTGGAATAATATCCACTACCCCATATTACCCCGAAGGTGTCATTTTATACGTGGCAGAGCCATGCTGTAGCTATATTAATGTTATAGTTGTAGCACGAATGGGTCAGCTCGACCGGGGAAGGACCATGCTCTCACAGAATACCAGCGTAAAGTAGCAGGTTAACGCTGCTGTGTTTCGTATGGTGAGTGTAGAGAACCGGAGACCCTTTTTACTGGAAACGAGGCATTCCATCTTACTCCTCAGGGGTGACAGCCCATCTACATTTTATACGTAATCGAGGATAGATGTAGATGGCTATGGGCCACAGCAACCTTTTACCATCAGGTGGACTCTGTGCTCCTTTGGCACCCTAATTCTATATAAAAAAAGAGGCAACAGAGGGAAACAAATCAGGAGATGGATAACAGTATCTTCCTAATAACGACTAAAAATGAAAAACTGTGTTGCCAACCCGTTTGCCTCAGTAAATATTTATTACATGTTATACATTATTCCCTTTATGAGCCAATATATGGGGGAGGCGTATGTTCAGCAGTGAACTCTAAGAGGCTGTAACGGTAAGGTTAAGATTATTATTTATTATTGTTCTATGTATTAATCGTGCTGTGTTTATTAATAATGTTTATTTTCAGGCTTGTTCTCACGTAGAGAATCGTGCGTTGGTGGTCTTGGCATTTCTGTGCGAGGTGTGTGCGCGGGCCGTGAGAGTTGGAGGCTGGTGCCGGGCTGCGGACTGGGCAGCGAGGCACGTGGCGCAGTGTGCTACACCATGGGCTAATCGGCATGGAGGATGGGTGAGATGAATTTATTTATTTCTTATAGAATAAAGGTGAAAATTGATCATATAGTTTTTCATCGGTTCTGTCATCTGTCATCGATTAAGATTTAAAATGCAGATGCGTTTTCACCGTTGAAGACTAAGATAGTATACAACGAAGCATTCTAGTAAAAAGGATCGTCGGTTTTCTACACTTACCATATGAAACACAGCAGAATTATTCTGATGATTCACTCTGCTTCTGTTAGAGCGTTGGTCATACTTCGGTCAAGCCGAGCCATTCGTGCTGTAGATATGTATATCTAGCACAGCTGCAAAAAATATTATTATCTGTTTTTAGTTACTTTCTTATTTCCGTAAGATCCGTAAAAATTATCAGCCCAATTAGTTGATTTAATTGATTTAATTTTTTTTTAAATAAAATTGAAGTGGCGAAGGATCTCACAGTCTACCTGATGGCAACTGCCAAGTGTTGTAATGAATAAAAAATGCCATAAATGAGTTGTCCCGTCAGGACTAGGATAGAAGGCCCACGGCCTATAATTGTACTAGCTCTCTATGCAGTACAGACCGTTGTAGAGATGGCGCTGCAGCTATATTAACAGTATAGTTGCAGCACGAATGGGTCGGCTCGAACGGTCTCACAGAATACCAACGTAAAAATGTAGCTTAACACTGCTGTGTTTCGTATGGTGAGTGCAGAGAACCGGAGAATCTTTTACTGGAAACAAGGCAATCAATCTTAGTCCTCAGGAGTGAAAGCGCATCTGCATTTTGATTCCTAAATGAGGATAAGTGTATATGTCTATGGGCCACAGCATCCACTTACCATCAGGTGGACTGTGTGCTCGTTTGTCATGCTTATTCTATAAAAAAAGACCGTTCACAGCAGTGCACGCACTGATGCTGACCTTGCAGAAATTGGTTAACGGAAAGTGTACTTACCTAGACAGACTCCTGGGCAGAAAAGGAATCTTGCCTCCAGAGTATAGACAAATCTTTTAAGACAGTTCTACTTGACCCGTATCTTGATCCAGAAGTAGATATATAAGAGAGATCCAACTAGAAAGAGACACATATATACGGCAGACTAATAAGTCCTACTTCTAGGCACACGCCAGAAGTGGGACATATTTAGTGCATATTTTTATGGCAATAATATGTCCATCGCGTAGCCAAAATGCGTGTTGGCAGACTTCACGTGTCTTCGAAATATTTTTTTATATTTCAGATAATATGTATCTTCAATGCCGAGATAATTAATACTTCAAGTAAGCGATAATCAACGGTAATAAATTAATAAGTAAGGCCGAAATAATATATTTGGATACTTTTGACACTGCTCATTACAATCACATATCATCATTCATCATTACAGCCCTTGACAAGTCCACTGCTGAACATAGGCCTCCCCCAAGGAATGCCACAAAGTACTGTCCTGAGCCCCCTGCATCTATCGACTTCCTGCATATCTTATCCGGTCGTCACTCCATCTAGTGGAGGGACGCCCTACACTTCGCCTGCCGGTACGGGGCTGCCACTCGAGAACCTTTTTTCTCCATTGGTTGTTGGTTCTTTGAGCTATATGGCCGGCCCATTGCCACTTCAGCTTACTAATCTGTTGGGCTATGTTGGTCACTCTGGTTCCACTGCGGATATCCTCATTTCTAAGTTTATCACGCAGAGAAACTCCGAGAATAGCCTTCTCCATAGCTCGCTGAGTGACCTTGAGCTTCCTCATCCAGCCAGCAGTGAAGGACCACGTCTCAGTTCCATATGTCATCACTGGCAACACGCACTGGTTGTACAGTCTCGTTTTCAAGTGTTGAGGTATACCTGACGAGAAGATGTGCCGTAATTTCCCGAACGCTGCCTAACTGAGTTGAATCCGTCGATTGACCTCTCGGTTGAAGTTGGACTTACCTAGTCGGACCATTTGTCCCAGGTAAACATACTCGTCAACAACTTCGAGTTTAGTGCTGCTAACAGCTACCGGCATAGGTGTGAAATGGACGTTAAACATGATCTTTGTTTTGTCCATGTTCATCTTAAGACCTATCCGTTTGGAAACATTATTGAGGTCATTGAGCATAATGCTTAGGTCCTCCAGCAATTCTGCCATAAGGATAATATCCTCGGCAAATCGAAGGTGAGTGATATACTCGCCATTGATGTTGATACCGTATCCTTTCCAGTCCAGAAGCTTGAAAACGTCTTCCAATGCAGCGGTGAAGTGTTTCGGGGATATGACGTCACCCTGTCTCACACCTCTCTACAATTAGATAGGTTTCGTACTCTGGTTCTGTACTTGGATAGCCATCGTAGCCCTACTGTACAAGCACTTCAACACTTCGATATATCGACAGTTAACTTGGCACCGCTGAAGGGACTGCAACACCGCCTAAATTTCGACGGAATCAAAGGCTTTCTCATAGTCCACATACGCCAGACATAGTTGCAAATTGTACTCCTCGGACTTCTATACAATTTGCCGAAAGGTATGTATGTGGTCTATGGTGCTAAAGCCTTTTCAGAAACCGGCTTGTTCGAGAGGCTGTAAGTCGTCAAATCTGCGCGCGAGATGATTCGTAATGACTCTCGAAAACAGCACTTAGACGCGGCTCAGAAGGTAAATCGGTCTGTAGTTCTTCAAGAGAGCGTTGTCGCCTTTCTTGAAGAACAAGACCACTGCACTTCTGCTCCACGCCTCCAATGTAATGCCACCACCATGGAGGACGGAATTAAAGAGCTTCTGAAGGACTTCAAGTACCGGTTTTCCACCCGCTTTCAGAAGCTCCGCTGTAATTCCATCCTCGCCTGAGGCCTTGCCGTTTTTAAGGCGCTGGAGAGCTATTCTAATCTCGCTCAGACTGACGTCCGGGATATCATTGGAATAGTGTCGGATAAGACTCGCTCTTGGATCGTTACTCACACTAGCGTGTGGCTCCAACAATGATGTGTACAGCTACCCATAAAACCTCTCAATCTCACTCAAAATCTCAGGTGTCCCGGAAATGACGCTGCCACACTCGGACTTCAGCTTCGACAGTTGGCTCTTTCTGGCAAACTGATCTGTAGCAAAGACTTTGGAGCCCTGGTTCCGCTCGGTCGCTTCTTCAATACGAGCAGTATTAAAGTTGCGTAAGTCCGGCCGCATGCATTTGGAGATCTGTCTGTTCAGTTGCCTGTATGCTGTGAAATCTACTGAAGACTGCAGCTTCACATCCCGTCTAACAGCTATGAGATTAAGAGTGTGATCGGAGAGTTTTTGTGTTCTTCTGCGGTGAGTCTTGCAGTACTTAGCTCCGACCGCATGGACAGTTTCCACGAGCTTGTCATTCATATCGTCCACTGCATTGCAATCTTCTAGGCACTGAAAAATGGTTTCGTAGCTCGAGCTGAAAGGTTTCGAGACTTTGGATTAGAGCACGAGGGGGACGGAGCGTTGACTTCATTAGATGTGACCTATCTAACTTAACGTTTAGGTTCACTGTGCCTCTCACCATTCGGTGATCGCTGCCGGTTTTCACCCTCGCGATCACTGAGACATCACTGAACAGTTGTCGTCTGGTCGTCATAATGAAGTCAATCTCATTTTTTGTCGAACCGTCGGGGCTCGACCAGGTCCACTTCCTGTGGGGCCGCTTCTGGAAGAAAGAGTTCGTCATAAAGAGTCCCTCTTTCTTCATGAAGTCGGCCAGCTGCTGGCCCCTTGGGTCCGTTGCCCTATTCCGAATTTCCCTACTTTCAGCTCACCGTTCTCTCTTGTGCCTAGTTTTGCATTGAAGTCTCCCTTTAACACCATATAGTGGGTTTTGGAGGAATGCATGGCTCTAGAGATATCCTAATACATTTCCTCCACTTCCTCATCGGGATGTGCCGAGGTTGGTGCGTAAACCTGTATGACCTTCAGCGAATACCGTTTGGTGATTCTGAGTATAAGGTACGCAACCCTCGTCGACACACTCCTAATCTTAACAACGTTGTTAACAAGAGACTTGTGGACCGACTCGACTCAAATGAAATCCGACACCTCCTTGGGAGCTTGGGACAGATGGTCGCCCTCCCGGTGATAGAACAAGTTGCAGGATCGAGGATTACCGTGTCCTCCCCCTCTTTTCAGACCTCGGATAATCCTATGATATTCCAGCGCAACTTGTCTATCTCTTCTTTCAGCTCCAGGATCTTCTCGTCAGCCCTCAGGGTGCGTTCGTTATAAGTTGCCAGGTCGATTCGTCGTAGGTGGCAACCGAACCTCCACCGGAGATTCTTAGCACCCCCTGCCCCGCCGTAACCATGGTCGCCACCGTAGCTTGGAATAGCGGTACCGCCGGGGACTGGGGGCCGTCTCTTCGTTACTCTCATGAGGGGTATATTGCCATAGCTGCCACGCTTGGCGAGCGGGTTGGCAACCGCAGTTTTTTTTATTGCTGTTTTGCTATTATTAGAAAGATGCTGCTGCCCATCCTTTGCCTCAGTTTCCCTCTGCCACCTCTTACGACACCCACAGGAAGACATGGGGTAGTAAGTATTCTTTCCCGCAACTACAAGGGAGAATGATACATATGCCGTGGCACAATAAGGAAATGGATCTCATATAGTTTAATGCTGCCTTCGAGGCTGGAAGAGAGCCCAATGAGACGCTCCATTACTGGTGCGAGTGCATAAGCTCTGCGATCTTTCATCCAACTGGCCATGCATAAATAAGTAAAGATTTATTCAGCAGTCCATTCAGAGTCTGGTACAAAGGTTATGGTAGCTTACAATCATCGACCCCTAATAAAAAACTAGATACACAATCCCATGCAAAAGTTCTCTAAAAACTGTCGCCAATTGTTTTGACGTAATTCTAGTAAAAATAAATGTACATTAATGTAAATTCAACCTTAAATGCATTGACTAAAGTTGTATTCACAAAGCTACGTACAAATTAAAAGCGCACCCAAAAGTTCGAGCGCACGCTCATTCGGTAAGGACATTTTTGTCACTGATTGTCTATCTGTCTTTTCATCTATGATCAATTTTTTTTAAAACGTTATCCCCACACTAGGATTTTCTCCTATATCGTGGAGGCAGTTTACAAACATAAATTGCACACGGATAAACATCCAGACCCGGAACAATTATTTGTAGGCCATACAAATATTTGTTCTCATTGCTAAGCCAGTGGGCTATGGAGCCGTAAATCTAGTTTTTTTTTATTAGTGATCGATGTTTACAACGATAGATAGATAAATAATTTATTAACAAATTGATTGTTTTAGAGTGCAGTGGTAGAGCGAGCCGGGGGAACTCGCAGAGATGACACTACTCTGTTAGCCGGTGCAGCGCTTGCAGCTTTGCTGGCGTTTGTGATTTTCTGCAGGGCACGTCTTCGTTACGCTCTTCTTTAAACACTTCAGCTGTTAAGAAATGAATTTAGTGGCCCTGTGACGTATAAAATTGATGAGAGAGATTCAATGCAATAAGTCTCTGCTATGTTGAGTTTGATAGGCGGGAGTATGTTATGGATCTGTAACGACTTGTTTTTTTTTTTAATTTTAGATATCGTGTAACATCCATGAAAGTTAAAGTTATTTAAAGTTACCTATAGCTTATATATGTTCCACTGCATCCATAAACTTAAAAATATTGATTAATAGGAAACATAAAGTTATAGAATCCCAAGAGATATTTAAAGAAATATACTACTATATACAGTTAATTAATGTTTACTCTATTACTCGGCGGCCATTACCTAGTTTCCAATTTCAGTGAGAAAGATTATTTGTAAATATATTTATAAAAAAAATATTTTTAAATTTGAATATTTTCGGCAAAGAGTGGAAAGCAAACACAATTCACCCTAAATTTTAGTGAATGCCGTGAGTACAGTCACAATCTGCTTTAATCCTCAGGTAATTTATTTATTTATTAAGTATAGCCAACAAATCTTACACTTAGGAGGAGTAGATTGTCTTTTTACCTGTAAAAAGGACTCAAGTTCTCGAATCAGTGTTCTCTCGTAATAGTGTTCAATATCTCCAAGTGTTTGACTCTATCCGATCCATTTCTTATCGAGTTGTTGATTTCCTTTGGACTCGGTAAAGACGTTTTGATTTTATATTTGTATTGCATATACAATTAGGTAGCACGATATAAAACACTCAAGGACCTTATATCCTTAGAATCAACAATTTTCACAAAAATAAAATAAAAACGTAATTACTTGTTAATACATAATATATTATTTATCATAGATAATTACGAGTGGCAATATAGTATTTAGAAATGTAAGATTTATAATTTAGAAATGTAATTTATAAGATACTTTATTCACAAATTGAGATATATTTTTAATTTAAGATCACTTTGATGTTTAACGAAATCCAAATGGTCGTCTTAATGAAATAATAGAAGTGAACGTAAATTTGATGTGGATAAACGGAAAAGATGTGAATTTAATGTTATATTGGATATGTTTTGAATAAAAAGTTATTAAATTTATTTTGCTTAAATAATCACGCTAAGTAATGTTGTCTATGTATAAAAATAAATTGCTGTCCGTTAGTCTCGCTAAAACTCAAAAACGGTTCGATCGATTTTGAGGAAATTTTTTGTGTGTGTTGAATGGGCCCATAGATGGTTTAGACTCACATTTGGACTCGGTAGGTGATTGAGTAAAATATAATAATGACACTGTACAGTGGCGGCGAAAGAGAATCCACTTCTCCATATTATTCCACGAGTGTCGTAAGAGGCAACAGAGGCAAATTAAATTGAAATGGTCGCAATATATTTAATAGAACTAAAATTAATAAAAAACTGCAGTTGTCAACTCTACCTGCCAAGTGTTACTTTAGAAAAATGAGACAATCTTTGCGGGAGCCTATCGTCCAGTGGACTTTTGATCTTACTACTGACAATAGGCTTATATATATTGTACTCGTATAAAGTAAATAAATTCGGTGTATGATACTAATGTTTTTTTTTCATAGGATGAGGTTGAAAAACGAGCACACAGTCCACCTGATGGTAAGTGGTTGCTGCGGCCCATAGACATCCACATCTATCCTCTGTTACAAATCAAAATGTAGATGCGTTGTCACCCGTGAGGACTAAGATGGAATGCCTCATTTCCAGTAAAAAGGGCCTCCGGCCACCTGCACTCACCAAGCGAAACGCAGAGGTAAACCTCTACTTCACGCTGGTCTTCTGTGAGGTCGTGGTACAACCCCGGTTCGAGCCGGCCCATCCGTGCGACAGCAAAAGCTGCCGCGTGGCTCTACCACTGTATAATGGCATGATATTATTCTATATTTATAAAAATTACATATTTATTTCAAAAAGCTTTTTGTTTGCAATATGAAATTACCCATCGTATTTGTTTAAGGAGAAACTAAGAACAAAATAATGCAATATCTAGGACGATTTATATTAATATTTTACAATTTGATATTGTTGATTGTTGTTCTTATTTGATTTATTTATTTTTGAACGTGGTAAAGCCATGCTGCAGCTATATTCATTGTATAGTTGTATCACGAATGGTTCGGCTCGACCGGGGAAGGACCACGCTCTCACAGAATACCAGCGTAAAATAGCAGCTTAATGGTGCTGTGTTGCGTATGGTGAGTGTAGAGAACCGGTGACCCTTTTTACTGGAAAAAGGCATTCCATCTTAGTCCTCACGGCTGCTATTGCATTCTGGTTCGCAAACGAGGATAGATGTAGATGTCTATGGGCCGCAGCAATCACTTACCATCAGGTGGACTGTGTGTTCGTTTGTCACGTTATCTTATAAAAAATATGAAGAAGAAAAAGGAAAATTAGGTCATTTATAAAGTTGTTGAGGCCTCCTTTTAAGTATACTCCTATAAAAGTATTTGCAGCATTAAATACTGTTATTATTAAGCTATTATTATATTTAGGTTTATGTATCCGGATCAGTATAGATTAGTAATCTGAAGTGGCAAAGAACCGCCCATAGATATAATATATAGTTCAAAGAAACAGTCGATGATAATCAAAGGTTCTAGGTGAGAGCTTCGTAACGGTAAACGAAGTGTATGATGGAGTAACGAAGTGCAGGAATTCGATGGATTAGGAGGCCTATGTTCAGCAGTGTACTAGTGATGAGCCGTAAAAATGATGATGATGATTCGAAGACATTTCATCGTTGCGCTTGTTGTAAAATCCGCCAACCTATTTTATATACCAAAAGGTTTTTTTGAAACAATTTTATATATACTCCTGAAGCATTTATATTTATAATTATTTAACATAGAGTCGATTTTTTTAAATGAAAATATTTATAAAGAAAACATTAGCAATATAGCAACATATAGCAATAATTGAACTTTACCGGCGCAGCGACGGTTAAAGTTGAGTATGGAATCCGGAAATAAATAAAGGTTTTTCTTATTATAATTGAATTTGTAGGTGTTTGTAATATGTATTTTAGTTCTTTCTGGTAGGTTTTCATTAGTAAGTCGTTTTATGTATAAAATAAATGATATTTTCGTGTTCGTTTTGTGTTTTATTTATGGAAGTAATTAGTACCTTCAGAGTGGAACCATGGTTTTCACTATGTATACTAATATAATAAGGCGGAAGAGTTTTTTTGTTTGTTTAAACACTCTAATCTCTGGAACTTCCAGCCTGATTTGAAAAATTCTTTTCTTATATTATAGCCAGATTCATGAGGAACTATAGGCTATCCAACATTAGGCCACATCTCTAAACTAGCCCTAAATATTGATTTTTGTAAAACAAGTCAGAAGGAAATGCGCCCCCGAACTGCTTTATCCGCCTGCGCTGCCGTAATGGTAAGTGATACGTTAATACAATGTTCTACTAAGTATTACATAATAAGAGTATGTAATATTAAGAGTTACAAATGAGCTCTCAATCCATCTGATGTTAAAAGGATGCTGTGCCCGTAGACATCTACATATATCCTCAACTAAGAATCAAAATGCTGATGCGTTGTTACCCTTGAGGAATTAAATGGAATGCCTAAAACGGGTCTCCGATTATCAACAATCACCATCGAAACACTGCAACAATAAGCTGCTATTTTACGCTAGTGTTCTGTGCGAGCGTGGTCCTTCCTCGGTCGAGTAAACTCATTCGTGCTACAACCATAATAAAGCTGCAGCGTGACTCCACCATGTATAAAATTATTAAGGACGTGTAAGAAAATTCTAACGGAATGGAAATATTTGCATTTCTGATGTTTCAGTCATGGTGTATTTTTCTGTCTCATTAACTGAATTCATCAACCTCATCACATCTGGTAGGTGATCTAACAGATGAGGTAACTAAGGGAAATGTTTCTCGTTTAGGCCAGACGGGATTCAATCAGAACAGTCTTCAATAAGTGGATTGACCAAGCATGACCAATAATAAGGCAAATACTTCCTACAACGGGGGAGGCCCATATCCAGCTGTGGACTTCCACAGGCTGAAAAAGAAGGAAGAAGAAGTATAAATACACAGACCTTAACCTTTCATATGAAAGCAAAATCACAAATATAGTTCATCTGGTGCTTTGACATGTCCACTAAGTATGAAGGATATCATTTCAATTTGAAATGTTAAAATGTACTGTGGAGTTGTTTAAGTGATGGAAAGACTTGTTTTTATAGGGTAAGTTATATATATGTATACAGTTCACCAGATGGTAAGTGGTTGCTGCGGCCCATAGAAATCTACCTCTATCCTCGATTACAAATCAAAATGCAGATGCGTTGTCACCCGTGAGGACTAAGATAGAATGCTTCTTTTCCAGTAAAAAGGGTCTCCGGTTCTCTACACTCACCATACGAAACACAGCAACGTTAAGCTGCTATTATGTGACATCGTGGTCCTTTCCCGGTTGAGCCGACCCATTCATACTACAACTATACTACTGATATAGCTGCAGCATGGCTCTACCACGTTAAAAAGTTTCTGTTCATAACTACATCTGGGTCAGTACCATTCTCTAAGTAATTTCTGCTATCAAGCAAATGTCTTTCAGTTACTGCTGTATTTTATAATAATTTCTTATAATTACGCGAACACTACACATTTAAATAAAACTAGTTTTACGGATTTTATCGCATATATTAACTTATTTTATGTTCCCGACGTTTCGAGCATTTTACAGCACCCAAGGTCACGGGGGGGGGACTGAGGTGTTTGATGTCATAGTTAACCACGGCTACATCCAGATTTGAACTTACAGTAGCGCGGGACCCGAAGCTTATTGTCGTGGAAAACTTGCTTGACATGTTGGAGCTCGGCGGCCAGGTGTTTACTGTCACAGATCCCTCGTGCTCTCTGAAACAAAGATTTACCCACGGTAGCTAATTGTGAAGGATGGTGATAAGAATCACTGCTTAAATATCTATCTGTATGGGTCTTTTTT